GACACAAGAAAGGGCAAATTTCGCTATGGATCCCAAAGTGACTGTTCGTCTGGGTAAATGCCACCGTGGGGGAAGGAAGGAGCAAAGACGAGAGGCCACGGGGCTGGGACGTCACTTGTGTGGAGCTGACGGGCGGCGGGGCAGAAACCGGGAGCCTCTGGCTTCCGAACGGGGGGTCAGAAATAGCAGTTTGTTGGGGACGGTGTCAGCGCGTTTCGCTTCCTCCTGCTCACAGCCAAGGCAAAAGGGTATGGGTCCTGGCTGAAGAGGGCTGAGTGCCTCGGTTTTCCCACCTGTGACATGGGGAGAGTAGCACCTAAGCGGGGGGCAAACCCCACTTGTCGGCAGCATTCGCCCGGAGGACTTTGGGCTGCTCCACGCTGGGGCACAGGAGAGGCGGAAGATGGCGAAGAAGAAGATGCGCAGGGTTATTCTGTAGCAGCCATGGTGCAGATTAGCCAACTGCCTGCTAACGATGCTTCTGCCTGGGCTGCTGCGGGGCGGGCATAAAGGCCCCTGCACTGCAGGGTGAACAGCGGCCCGCTCAGGCCTCTCCTCCTGCATGGAAGTGGGAGCTCCTCTTGCAGGCAGCAGTAGTAAGACTGTTATCCTCTTTTTTTCCAGCCGTTCGCAGGGCAACACCACACTCACGTGTGTCTCCAACCCCAAGAAATACCTTGGCCCCATTCTCCTTAGAGATATGGCAAGTGCCACTGAGAGGGACTTTGGGAAACAGCTGTCAGGCTGATTTTATGGCTGGACAGTCATTTTCATAACTTTGCATGTGTGGCTGGTGCACGCTTATTGCGCAGTTAACCAGTTAATTGTGTGATAATGCCTTTGCGCTTGGGGCCGGTCTTACTTGGCAGTGACCGGTGTCAATTTATTGCGCAGTTAACTAGTTAATTGTGTGATAATTTCTTTGCACTTGTGGCTGCTATTACTTTGCAAGTGTGGCCAGTGTAAATTTACTGCGCAGTTAACCAGTTAGTCGTAAGATAATTTCTTTTCACTGGTGCTGATCTTACTTGGCATGTGTGGCCGTCGTACGTTTATTGCATGATTCACCAGTGAATCGCATAATATATATAACGTGTAGCATACGCAGCTTGCTGGAACAGTAGGATTGTCTTCTTTAGAGAAGTAAGAGATAAGACGGCGCTGAAATCCTTCTGGGATCTGGACGCCTCTTTGATGCAGAGTGACAGGACGCTGGTGGGCCAAAGGTATTCCTGGTGCAATGCATGCAGCCACGGCCATCAAGCCGTCTTTGCCCCACAGAAAACCAGGCTTTCGTACAGAAACCGTAGCAGGTTGCAAAACAGCATTATCTCCACGGAAAACGTCATTGTTCTCATCAGACCCCCAACGTTGCGTGTTTTCTCGTGCCCAAAACCAAATAATTTTGGCCCAAACAGTCGGTCCAGGGGTGCCCGTCCTCTGTGGGCCAGCATGCCCAGCTGGACTCAATCTCCCGCGATGCACCATGCTCAGGGGCCGCCACGCTACCTAGCCTCCCGCTGCCCGAAGAGCAGACCTCGCACCTGAAATTAGACCGCTGGGACGGAGCAGGGATGCAGGGAGGGAATGGCAGCTTCCCCGAGGCACTCATCAATCCTTGTTTCAGCTGAAATCATTCATTTGTGAGAGCTTTCCCCCCCAAAATGGCAAATTGTCCGAAGGACCAAAGCAATGGGGGGGTTGTCCCTGGAAAGGACTCTGCCCAAAAGAACCGGCGAGGAACATATGAATGACGTGGACGTGGGGCTCGCAGGGGAGCGGGTGGGAGAAGGGCTTGGCCACGCGCACAAACACCCCTTCTCTGCAACCCGAATCAGCCCCCCGGGTCCTGCGCAGTGGAGACATGGAGCTTTCTCGTGCGCGTTTGGTGCTGTCTGACGGCCCTTGTCACGGAGACGTTTCCAGCTCCGGAGCATCCCCCCAAGCGGTCCCAGCCCTTCCTGCTGGGAGCAAAGCACAGACAAGCCGGAGCCTTGTCCTTGGCTCCGGCTGCCCTGGGCCAGGCCAGGTCGTGCCCGAGGTGCGGTTATCGTCCCACTTTCTTTTCCCACGGGCCTTTCCACTGGGTTCGGACTTGCCAGGGGCCACGGTGCCCCGGGGGACGTCACTCTGAGGCTCCCGGTCGAGCTTGTGGTCGGTGCTGAGGATGAGGTAGCGTCTCCGCAGCTGGGTTAGAGGTTTCGCTGCTGGGATTGTTCAATGTGTTTGCTTTCTGCTTGCACGGCCAAGTGCGGGCACCAAAGGGAAAGAGGCTCTTGGCTCTGGCCAGGCAGGGACTCCCCAGGGTTTTCTTTGGATGACCCAGACCAGAACAAGCGTGGCTCATCCTTGTCCTGAGCTTGACTTCCCACCCCAGACTGAAGCCTGTTGGAAAGACGTGATTTCTGGCTACCTCCCGTTCTGCTCCGGAGCCACTCCGGATTGACACCAGGCTGCAGCAGGGGAAGTTGAGGTTGGATATTAGGAAAAACTTTCTCACCGGGATGGTAGCAAAGCACTGGAACAGGCGACCCAGAGAGGTGGTGGGATCTCCATCCTTGGAGGGGTTTAAGACCCGGGTGACAAAGGCTTGTCTGGGATGATGTAGTTGGGGCTGGTCCTGCTTGCAGCAGGGGTTGGACTGGATGTGACTCCTGAGGTCCCTTCAACCCTCATTTCCTATGATCCTGTGTCATGCAAGGAGACCCAGACATGTAAAGCAAGGCCTCAGCTGGGCGCCAGGAGAAGCAGCGGTGACTGGACCTGGGAGTGGTCCCCGATCTGCACCGTGCCTCTGGCTCCCTGCACGGACGCTTGCCCACCTCGTCGTCGGCGCCAGCTCGAGGACCCGTCACTGCTGCGCGCTGTTGATGCTCCCAGGCTCACGGCTCCTCCCGATCGTGGCCCGTAGCCTCGGCCTGCACTTGTACAGCTGGCAGCTGGGCTATCCCCCATCAGTGCTGCAGTATCCGACGGGACACTGCAGCCTCAGGACGTGGCAACCACAGGAAATCACGGGAGCTGGAAACAGCCACTGTGCCACAAGCCCCAGGCAGCCCCCATGGGAGATTTGAAACGTCAAGGCCGTGCCGGCAGGGCTGGACGGGATGGACCTGCTAGCCCCTGAGGTGCAAGCTCCCGCTTGCTGCATTTGTAGGAGACTGAAGCCAGAGCCACTCTGCATCCCTTGGCATCTGCTCGCCCTCGTGGGGGAGCACGGAGACCCGCTGGAGGGAGCTCATGGGGCAGACCCCTTCATATCCCGGCGAACCATGCTGGCTGCAAACCCGTCGCTCCCTGCTAAGCGACCTGTCTCGGCCACCAACGCTGAGCAGGGCTGGGGCTGGCCTGGCAGGCCGCGCGGGTCAGAGAGACCTGGGATCGAACCACTTTGGCTGGAAACGAAACTGCCGGGTGAAGCCGTGTCCACCCCAGCGACCGGAACCAGGGAGACACCGAGGCTCGACCGGCCTCTTTCAACATGCCCGGGAACAAAGGCTTTGCTTTTCGGTCTTTAGGTTTTGAAGGAGCTCTGCATTTTGGAGCCGCGCGCTGTGCACAACAGAGGGGCGTCCTCACGGAAACCCGGCCCTCCGTCCTCCAGAGACGGGCTTGCAAAACTTGTTTTCCTTTGTGGGGAGTTTTGAAACATCTGGGTTTGCTCCAGTTCAAAGGCAAGCCCTGTCTGGAGACCTCGAGGGCCTTTGCAATACAGGATCGTCATCCTCCGACCAGTCCCAGTGCCCAGCTGGGAGGCCTCCAAGGATAACCCAGGAGGCAAGAGCACCTTTTCCCCTGCTGGGGATGATGTAGGGTCCCTGCCGGGTGCTGTTCTGGATGGATGGATTCTGCCTCGGGTCCTCTTGACATTTAAGGCTCTTGGGGTGTTTCCCCATCCCACTCCAACCAGTTCGGCCTCCCAGGTGCTTCCTGCTGGATATAGAGCCACAGCCGTGGGGCTGGACGGGACCCGCCCGGTCCAAACCACCCCATGGTCCAACCTCTTAGCAAAATTACAGTCATCCCTGACATAGCACCAGACATCGCACCCAAACCTGCCATGGGGAAAGCAGGGGGACCGTGGTGGCCAACGTCCTGCTGCCGCAAAGGTTGCAAAGCCAGTGTCCCTGCTGCAAATATACGCTCAAGAGACCCCGGGTGGATGCCGTGGCCCTGCAACAGAGAAAGGCAGATCCCACCCCCACTCCATATCAATGTGTCCAGGGGGTAAAATCCCTTCCCGTCCCCAATGCAATATCCATCTGAGCCTGAGCAGGGGGGCAAGACCCTCTAGCCAGGACCCTCTGGCTGTAAGTCCCAGCAGGAGCATTGGCACAGCCCAGTCCCATCCCCAGCCTGGGCTGCAGCAGCACCCAGTGCCCCTGGGGGAGGCTTAAAACCCCCCTGACACATCTCATATTAGTGCTTCACCCCCAGACACAGGTGCTCCTGTGCGCATCCTTTTGTACCATGTTTTGGGGGTCAGTCCAGTTGCTCCTGTTGGATATGACTGTGGCTCCGTAGCGATACGAATGCCTGCTGCAAAGAAGGGGTCTATCACACGGGCCGTGTGTGGCCTCTGTTTTGGGAGGCCGGGCACAGGGAAATGCCTGGCAGCAACGTCCCTCTGTGAAGGGGGAAGCCTTTGGGGGTTAGCGACAGCACCGGGCAGCCCTTGCCTGGAGGAGACTTGTCCGTCTTGCGATTGCTGGTGATTATTTCTAGGCAGACCCCAAGCTCCTCACTGAGTGGGAATCGGCTCCTGCTGATATTTGTGACTCAAAAAGTGGCCTCCCCTCGTTTGTCTTCCTGCAAGGGAGAGGACGGGGGGTCCTACAGAGCCGTGCCTCATCCCCTGCCCCCTGCGTGGGGGGCTGGGGGTCATCCGGCGGCCAAAGGGATGGGATGGGGACGAGCACTGAGGCCGCGTCGGGCACACGCATGTGACGCTGTTCCCACGGCTGGCCCACGGGTGTGACGCTGTTCTTCTCCCTTCCCAGACCCCTCGGCGGTTGACTTGGACTCCTACGACGGGCCGGCCCTGGCGGAGGCGCTGACATGGTACCTGCAGGAGCTGCCGGGCCCCCTGGTCCCCCCGGCCGTGTACAGCGAGCTGGTCCACGCTGCTCAAGGTACGTCTCCCTCTCCGGCCACATCGGCCTTTTGACTCGGGGCAAGTAGACGAGGGGGCATCCGAGCCCCAAGACCTCTAGGTTTGGGGCTTGGGTGTCAGGTGCTGCCAGGGATGTGGGAGTGCTGTCAGCCCCCGGGGAGGACTGGGCCCAGGTCCATGAGCTGCTCAAGAAGGGCACGGCCTCGTGCGTCTCCCTTTGAATAGGCCTCGCTAGCCTCGGGCGCAGGGGACAAAGCCGAGCTGCAAGAGGCCCTTCAGACCGCCGCGGGGCTGGAGGGAGCGTGGGAATCCCGTCCCCCCGGCCCAAGCGCTCGATCAAGGTCAAGGAATCGATCACCTTTAAAAGCGATGCCCCGGCTCCCCTCGTCCATCGCCGGCCACGCAGCTGGCGACCTCGCAACCTCCGGGGACGCCAGCGCCTCTCACCGGCCCATCGTCCCCGCCGCGTCCATCGCTGGGATGATGCCTGGGGGAGAGGGTCGGGAGCAGCTGGAGCCAGACTGCAAGCTATTAATGAGCTGGGGGAGGTAGCTGGCGGTGTTAGTCTGCAATCAGGCTGCAGGCAGGGTAGATTTGCACCTTATAGACCAACTCGGGTCCAGCCCAGGGGCCCTGCTTCTCTGGGACTCTGTGGTTCAAAGGGTTCGGAGCCAGACTGTGCCCATCTCCGAGACGTGCATCTTTGCCGGCACAAGGCACCTCTGCCGGCAGCGCATCCCATTGAGGCCTGGGCTCGAGCTCAAACCCCCGCACTGACCAGAGACCGGGGACCTAAGGTTTTCCTCTGAAGCTTTGCACAGACGGCACATGGGGATTTTCCCCGGAGAGGACCGACGACTTGAGGCTCTGGATGTGAGCTAGCAAGGGTAGGGCACGATTCCCTGGGTCCTTGTCCAGACGAACACGCGTGTGTACGTGCATGCGTGCCGAACCCAGCCGTGGGCCTTCTCTGCGCTCGCTGGCTTTGCTTCGCCAGGAACCGGGGAGATGGGTTGGAAAAATGCATTAAATCTCTCCAAATCCCACCAAGTATGCATGGGACTCTCTCCCGTCTGGGCACCCGGCAGAGGTGGAGCAGTCTTCAGCGCTGATGATCTAGGAGCAGAGCCGGTGCAGCCTGCCCATGCCAGGAGGCCCCGCGACTGCCAAATCCCTGCAAGGCTGGCCCAGAAAGAAAGCATTATTACAATAGTTTGGCTCCACAGCGGGGACATTTTTCCTGTGATCTAGTCAGCTTTTGGCTTTATAAGGGCATAGACGAATCCTCGCTCTCTTAGCACAGCGTGTTGGAAGCACCTTTCGGTCTCTGCAAAGTCTCTCCCGCCTCTGTGCAACCGGATGGGATTGCTTTAAAGGCTTCGGTTTAGTTGGCTTTTTCCCTTAAGCAACAGGCTACAGGGTCAATCCCGCAGAGGCCGGAGCAGATGGGGTCCCCGGACACTACCCAGCCAGGCTGGGATCCTCTTGGCGGTCAAGAGGAAATGGGGACCAGTCCAATGGCACATCCTTCTGCATATAAGCTCCACCCCATCTCCATAGAAACGGGGCACTTTGCATATGTTACTGGCTCAGGGGAGGGGGAGGCAGGTCCCGATTCCCGTTCGGGGAGCTGAAAGATCCAGCGACTTGCCCAAGGCTAAGCAGAGAGTCTGTGGCAGGGGTGGGAATGTAGTTTTCTGACTTCAGGGCACTCGGATGGAAAGGTATAGCCCCAAAAGCACTGCGCGGGTGTTTGTAGAGGACTGGGTCCTGCCTCCCGGCTGGGTACAGGGGGAACCAGGGAGTTTGGTCCCCAAAGGGGGTGAAAACCACCTCTCCTGTCTCCCAGAAGACTGCCATGACCCCCAGGCTACGGGCTGGGCTTGGAGGGGGACTCCTCAACCCTCCTATCAAAGATGCCAGACCCCCACGGCCAGATTGAGATGGATATGGGGGGGTTGCCTTCTTCTGGAGTGGGGGCACAGCCTCCACCTGGGATCTCTTGAGCACCTATTATCGACCCTTTCCGGCAGCAGGACGCTGGCCGCCGCGGCCCCCCCGCTTTCCCTGGGGCAGGTGTGGGTGTGATGTGCCAGGGCTGATGATCGTTGTACTAAGAGGTTAGATGATGGATGTGCCTGGGCTGGTTTGGACAGGGCCAATCCTGCCTCAGGCCAGGGTTCGACTATATGTGAGCTCTCCCACTCCCTTCTGGTGCTCTGTGATTTTATGAAATGGAAGGGCTTGTCTACACTGGCACGGAAACCCAGCTGGGACTTGGAGGGCTCAAGCCGGGTGAGGGCAGCCCGCAGCATTGTTCCTCCGTGCCGAGCAAGCCGCGAGGGAGGACAAGCACTTTGTAACCCCGATCGTGGAGGGAAAGCCCTGTGCATCGTACCCTGGGCAGGCACAAATTGCAGCCAGCGCCGGCACTGTTCGAGGGCTGGGATGCATGCACGCTTGGCGTTACAGCTCCTCCCTCCCCACCGGCCCAGCAGCCGGGCTGGGGGATGCCCTGTGCAGCCTAGTCTGTGCTCCACGGCTCCAGATGCAACCCTCGGGGAGATGAGGGTTCATGCCCCCTCGGACACAGGACCGGACATCTTCAAAGCCACGGGGCCCGGCGTCGAGCTGTGGGGCTCACTGTGTCTGACCAGCCGTCGAGACCGTGTCTCACATCAGCCCCGACAAGAGCATCAGCCGGGGAAGACCCCGCAGTCCCCAGAGCAGAGGGGCATGGGTCTTCTCCTGGCATCTCCGCCAGGCAAGGACGGCTTGTCCTGGGTTATCAGCCCCATTGGGGATTCACGGCCTGGATCCCTCTTCCTTCTCCAGCCTGGGCTTTGCAATGAGCTTCCCTCCCTCCTCCCGCTGTTGCAGCACCCGGTACCGGCCAGGCGACAGAGCCGCTGTAATCCAGATGCGCTTCTTGCAAGCGTGTTATTATCAGGACCAAGAGCGGGCAGGCCTGGCCGAGCGGGGTCATGGCTTTCTGCCCTGGGACACCCTGGGGACCGCTGTCTGGTCACGCCGGAGCTCCCGGCTGCGTCGGCTCCACCGGCAGTCATCGCACGTGATCCTGGTCCGTAGCAAGCCGTGGGGTTCATGTCCACAAGCAAATCTGGGCGTCATTTCAGACCCGCTCCATCACGATCTCACTGCCCATCCCCTCCTGCCGGAGCTGAAATAGCACCTCCCTGCTTGCTTGTCCCACGCCCTCCGCGATCCATAAGCCCCGTACTGCTGCCGGCAAAGGAGGAGTCCCCTTCAGTTCTGGGACCTCTCTTGGATTGAAAGGATCTGGGCACACATGTGACCCAGAAAGGTCCCCCCCTTTCCCAGGACAGCCGCCCCAGCACTGAGTCCTGTCCTGCTTCTTCAGCAGATGTTTCAGCGCAGCTTTCTTCTCCTTGCTCATTAGCGACTCCCGTTGCACTTTGCGGCGTCTGCGGCACCGCACGCCGATCCAGCCCCGCGAGCGCAGTGATCTCCCATAGAAGTAATACAAAACCTGGCTGCTCTGTCCCACAGAAGTAATACAAAATAAACCCCTGTATCATTGACTTTAATCCCCTTAGGCATCGCGTGTGCCGGCAGCTGAGATATCTCTGCATGGAGCCTGGGAGATGGATGGAGATGGGGATGGAGGGATGGGGTAGGTAGGGTGGATGGACACAGAGGCAGGAGGGATGGATATGCACATTGGGTGGATATGCAGGCAGGGCGCATGGATGAATGGGGGGCACTTGCCTTTGAGGGCCCCCCGTCCCAGCTCCGGGAGGCACACGCGGGTGACAGCCCCCGTCCAAGACTTGCTGGCACCGTCCGTCCCTGCGTGCCCCTCCCTCCCCGTGCTACCTCTCTGTGCAACATCCCCCCTCCTCGGTCACGAGAGCCACCCGCCTGCCCCCCAGCCCAGCCACCGAGGTGCCCAGCTCCCTGCTGAGACCCCCACCAGCTCCCGACACGGCCCACGGGGACCCCGCGTCTCGTCTGGCCTCCCCGCTCTGGCCTTCTGGGGAGGAAATCAAAGGCAGCTTCGAAACTCAATTAGAAAGCAATTAGCCGGGCCAGCTCGTTAAGCGACTTCAAAGGGATCCCAGCCCTGGAGTTCCTCAGATCCTCAGGCCAAAGCAAGGAGGACGTGACAGACGGGAGCTACTGGGGGGATTTCCGACCTCCTCCACCCCCCTTTTTCTTTTCTTTTCTTTCCCAGGGTACACCAGCCCTTTAAAGCCTGGGCAGGAGGCAGGGCAAAGCTGCACCTTGCAGACTAAGCCAGCCATGCATAAGCTGGTGCGAGCAGCAGCTCGCTGCATCGGATGCTGTCGTCTTAACATATTGCCGGGGACCCGCGGCACAGAGGACCAGGCCCAGTCCTTGGTTTGGTGTGAAAGCTGCCAGCTGGAGGTCCCTTTAGCCCCCCTCGGCCTGGCACCGGGCACCCGACATTGCCACGTGCTTCTGACACGCTGGTCCGCAAGCCCTGAGGCTGGCAGGTCCTGACCCGGAGCTTGTCTAGCAGGGGCTGATGCTCACCCCCAGCTGGAAGCAGAGCTGGGACCAAGGCTGGGAAACCCAGGGGCCGTCTGGGGGGTCCTTGCCATCCCCGACTCCCGGGATCCTGGACTGGGAGGACCCACGGCAGCTCCTGGTCTCTATGGGACGCGCTGGGTGCAGGCAGGCTGGAGCCAAGGGGAGTCTGTCCTGGGGGGTACATGCAAGACCCTTGCTCATAGCAGGGGGCACTCAGGGCCCGTACGCCGTCTGACCGGCCAGCTGAGCCTGCACCCCGGACAGGAGCCGGGAGAGATGCCAGGAGCACGTGGAGATGGAGCCCAACCCAGGGAGGTCCCAGCTCCAAGCAGACAGCGAGAGGCGGATCCTGGAGGCCCGAATTTGGGGAAGCTGCTGCAGCCTGAGCCAGACGCGGCCCCAGGGGCACCCCTTAGCTGGCTCCCCAATTCCCCCGGGCCGGACCGTGGGGCAGAGCCACACGGGGAGCGGCCGGCTGCGCCGTCTCATCCCCCGCTCGGTGCTGATTGCGATTGCTCTCCCCACAGTCTCGTTAGGGGGACCCTCGCTGCCAGCCGCCTCGTTAGCGCTCCACCCTGTCTCCCAGCAGCCTTGTTACAGGGCTCGGTTCCCCACTCATTAGCCAGGATGATTAATTAGGCATCGGGGTGTTGCTGTGGGTGCCCCTTGCAAGGAGGAGAGGCACGAGCAGAGCACGTGCAGCGTCCAGGCGTCCGTCTGTCCGTCCACCCTACTGTCCCCTGGGTCCCTCTCTTCCCCAAGCACTCCTGGCATTAACGACCATCCCCATCACGCTGGCTCCATAGGCCTCCGGGCCACAGGGATGCAGCTGAGATGCTGCTACTCCATCCCATCCCTGCAGAACAAGCTCCAGCCTCATGCACGGGGTCCCGGGAAACCCCTGCCCACCGTGTTGGGGTCCCACCAGAGAGAGCTTAATACTGCTCTGCCTGAGAGGCACGTGGCACGCTGCCCCCCAAGGAATGTGCCTAAATCCCTTGGTGGGGGTGGGGCTAAGTGACTGGGCCACGGTCACACCAGAAGGCGGTGGCACCAAGCTCAGCGGAGTGAATCCGGATTTAATCGTGTATCAGAGAAGTTGGCATCTGGGCCGTGCATGCTGTGGCCTCGGAGAGCTCCAGGGTAGTCAGGGGGGCGCTGACCCGCCCAAGAGGTGGGGGGCAAATCAGGCGGTACATGGAGGCCACCTCCTCCTAAGTGACCCAGAACCTAGGGTCCCCCACTTTCCCAGCATGCCTTGATGTTGACATTTGGCAGAAGGCAGGCATGGCGCAGATGTACGCACGTGCTTCGGGGTGAGGATTTTTAATCCCCGTGATGCTTCTCCCGTCTCGGTCCCAAATTGATGAAGTGACTCCCCCCTGCCGTGTGCTGCTTTCCTGGCCTGAGCATCCCTGGACTTGATCACAGGGGCCTGGCAGGTTTAGGAGCCTTCCTTGGCAAGTCCACTGCTCCAGCCAGTGGTAACGAAGGGGGGAGCAGTGTAGACAGGGCTCCTGCGGCTGCCGGGCACAGGACTCGCGCCTCCCAGCTCTGCCTAAGCTGGGTCAGGCCGATGTCACATGCAGAGTGCCAGGAGCCAGGCCACGCTCCTGCACGTCTCCGAGGGGGGTGAATTTGGGGCGGGAGGGCCCTGGAGATGATCTTTGAGGCCCTTGTGCCTGCAGTGAGGAGAGGCTGCTCCCAAGAGAGGGGCATGGGAAGATGGGCAGAACGACCAGAGAAGGGGAGCTGGGACGGTCGACGTGAGCCCGGCACCTCTGCCCCGGGGGGACGATGTGGTCTGGGGGACGCCGGCAGCCGGAGGAGACGGGACTCAGGAGAGCCAACTACAGACGGTAAACGCTGCCCTTCCCTCGTGTCTCCCTCCCCGCAGAGACCCCGAGCCTGGAGGAATGCAGCCAGCGTGTGAAGGCCATCCTGGAGACCGCTGGCCTGCCCCCGCCGCATCGCCTCCTGCTCCAGCACCTCAGCTGCCACTTCTGCTGCCTGGGCCAGAAGAGCGGCTGGAGCCGGTCGGCCGCCCGGGCACTGGGTGAGCTCCTCGGAGAGCTGCTCTTCCACGCCGCGCTGACCAGGTGAGGCTGCAGGATGAGGCCCTGCCTGTGCTTGCTTAGCAGTGCATGCAGGGTCGTGCTCTCCGCTCTCAGGGCTGCCCCCGTCCTTCACATAAAGCTGCTTGTTTCCCAGGGGCCTATCTGCTGCAACCGAATCCCAAATTAATAGCTAATGTTTTGAGCAACTCGGGCACTGGCCCAGACTCCTGGGTCTGCTTTGGGCCTTGAGCCTTGATTTGTCCCTCTGTGAAATGGGTGCATTAATCCTACTCTGAGTCCATGCGGCTGACTCAGATGCGACGTTCCAGCCCATTGAGGCCCTGATGAGTGGCTGCGGTCCTCTCTGGCACCAGGCTTGTTCCCAGGGGGGCCAGGGCAGACACCGGGCACACACACACAAACGCATCGCTCGTCGCTTCTCCCAGCGCCCCCTTCACCTCCCGCCCTTCTCTCCCCAGCACGGAGGTGAACCCGGAGCACCACGTGAAGATCATCGAGGCGCTCATCCTGGCTGGAGGCACGGCCAAGAGGGACGTGGCACCCGGTAGGGAAGGGGTTTCCGTGGGACAGGTGGGTGGACAGGGCACGGGATCTCCCCAGCTCAGGCCTCCCGCGGCCTGGACATTGGTCTTCCTCTTCAGCCTCTACCTGGGCTCTCTTGAGTGCATATCAACCCCCTTTGCAGCAGCAGGATGTTGGCCGCCGCGGTCCCCTTGCTTTCCCTGCGGCAGGTTCGGGGGCGATGTCAGTGTTGTCCGTGCGGCCCTCTTCCTCAGCTCTCTCAAGTGCATTTGAACAACCCGGATACCTTTGAACCCCCCCGGCAAGGGCAGGGCACTGCCAGCCCTTGCCCCCCTGCTTTGCCTGGGGCAGGTTCGGGGGCTCAGGGTCTGTGGGCAATGCCCCTGTAGGGCTGAGCGCATGCTTTCCAGACTCGGGAATGCCAGCCCAAGGCTGCTGCGGTTGGCAGTATCGGCGAGGGACGGCGTAGACACTCCCTGCTTTTCACTGCGATCAAGATGTTCCTCTGGCAATTTGCAGCGTGGTGGTGCCGCCCGGGGCAGAGACGGGAGATCCAAGGCTGTCTCCCCTCCTGCCTCCTCTGCGCAGAGTCATTAGCGCTTGATTGGCAGCACGGCTCAGCCGGGCTCCAGCAGCCACCCGGCTTTAATTGCTCTGCAGGGAATAGCCGAGGGGATGTGCCTGGTGCTGGTGGCGTCTGGGATGGGGCCAGCCTGTGCGGGGAGGGAGGGGGAAGCCGGTTGCGCTCCCAGCTGTATTTTCCAGCCACAGGTGGTTTGTTTCCTCTGCTTTCAGCACCGACAGGTCCCGGTTCTGGCCTCGCGTCTGCCACCTGGCTCGAGGTCGCGGTGATCGGCTTTACCGTGTCCCCCAGTTGCACCGAGCGGTTGTTTCGCAGGTGCCAGGTGTCAGGATCGATGGGGCCGTCAGGCAGGCTCGCGGCGCGCCAGGTCCCCATTGCAAGGTGTCGTGTCAAGGGATGAGGTGGTGTCGTGGCCCAAGCGGATGGTAGATCAGAGCCCAGCAGGGCAGGGGCAGAAACTGAGATGAGGCAGGAGGTCCAAGGCGCATGCACACCAGGGATGCTGCTGGGACAAGTCCCGCAGGGTTTTATAGTCCCATAGACTCCCCCCCCATGTCCCCGTGGGAGGGACCAGGCTGGCATCCGACCCGCTGCCCGGCAGTGCTGAGGACTCAGCCTCTGTCTACAGGCTTGGCTGCTCTGGGGTGCAACCCCCCTGCTCCTAACACTGCTCCATTGAGCCTCGCTCCTCGTGGGAGCGATGGCTTGTGTAGGGGAAGCGAGGACAGGGCTTCCCCCTGTGGAGTCGGCTCTCCCCAGGGCTTCCCACAGCAAGGTCTGGTCCTTCTACCTGCGCCTGGTCCTACCTGTTTGCAATGGAGTGAATGGAGCTACGCCTGTCGAGTTCAGTGTGAGAACCAAACATGCGCTTGCAGTGGAGAAGTGCATGCAGGGGGGGTTGCTTTTCTATCTGGCTGTCTTTATTTTGGGTCACCCTCTGCTTCCCAGCATGCTGAGACTTTGGCCAGGATTTTTCCGGCGTCCACTCCTGACTCAGCTGAGCTCTTTGAGTGGGATGGAGAGAAACTGCCAGCTCTGGCTCCTCTTCCCAGGTCTGATGTTAACACACAGCTTGTTCGTACCTCGCGATAAATCTGTCGGGAGGTTGGGGTGGGCTCATGCGCTGCAAACAAACACGCAAGCAAAGGGAAGTAGCAGAACATGTCGTTCCTTTGGGGCTAGATTCATGCAGGGGCCGCAAGCATCGTCGTGTCCCGAAGTTGCACGTCACGTGCATGACCTTTGGGCTCAAAATGCGTTGTAAGAAGAGGTGATTGTTTTTAATGGCCTGGAAAACACCATCAGTGCCCAGAGGTTTCCGCGCAGCTTGTGCTCCTTCCCTGTCTCCCTCGTTTACCAGTCCCCGCAATGTGTTTAGCGCGCTGAGCTTTGAAGGCCGAGCAGAGCCCTGCACATATGCATGGAGTTATGGCCTCGAGGAAAATTAGGGCAGCCCGTTCTTGCAGCTGGGGAGATTTGCAAGGGCAAGACGATGCTTTGACAATCAGAGACCAAAGGACGGGGGGAAGAACAGGGCTGTGAGTAGAGCCGAAGGGATGTGTGCTTGTTGCTGCATGGGGCTGGGGGGATTTCTGCCCCGTCCCCCTTGCTGTTTCACGTGTCGTGGGGTGGGCACCTTTCTCAGAGGCGCTGGGTGCTGGCCGCAGCTCAGGCTGGGGATTTGGACTGGGCTGTGCCAGTGCTCCTGCTGAGACATAAAACAGGAGGGTCCTGGCTAGAGGGTCTTGCACCTCTGCTCAGGGTCAGTCCAATGCCATATTTGTGGTCAGGAAGGGATTTTCCCCACTGGTCAGATTGGTCCAGACTGGGAGGTTTTGCCTTCCTCTGTGGCGGGGGCACAGCCTCTGCCTGGGGTCTCTTGATGTGCATTAACAACCTTTGCAGCCGCAGGGCATTGGCCGCTGCGGTGCCTCTGCCTTCCCTGCGGCAGGTTCAGGTGCAAAGTCTGGTGTTGTGTCAGTGCATGGGTTTGTCTGGGCTGGTTTGGACAGGGCTAATCCTGCCCCAGGCAGGGGTTGGCCTAGACGTGACATCCAGAGCTCCCTTCCAGCCCCGCGGCAATAGGAGTCTGTGCTGCTGCAAGACAGGGCACTGCTCCGTCCTGCGCAATGTCACAGGTTCGGTCTCGTCCGTGGGCAGCGCAGTGTTTGCCAGCATGTACCCGGCCGTGGTCTCATTCATAAATCGTCGTCCGCCCCCAAACTTCGCCACACTTTAATTGTCAAGATAATACAGCCGTGACCTGACTCATCCTGCTTTGCTTTCCCGCTTTCCCGGCACTTCCAGGGATCCGCTGTGGATCACTGCCATGCGACTTCGGCGAGGCGTCGCTCCACAGGCCTGGCAAACAGCCCCTCGGCTACCAGCTTCGTTATCTTCCCCCCCTCCGTTTGCTTCGTCCCTTCATTGGCACTGACTGAGCTTGTGACCTCCTTGGGTCACCGCAGCCTGTAGCACTCCAGGTGCACGCACAGCGCTGAGTGTGGCCCCAGCCTGATCATCGTGCAAATCCCTGCACCGTTCTGGGATTAACCGGGAGGCAAGGACACGCGCGAGAAACCCGAGACAGGAGGAAAAGGGGCAGAGGATCTTGCTTTGCAGCCAACACCTCACCTGGGTGCCAGCGCGAGGCCTGAGCTGGCAGGCCTGCATCCCCGCCGTGGGCAATATGCTTATGCTAGAGACCAGAGGCTTGGTTCAGACAAGACCCTCCGTTTCCCCAGGCGTGCCAGGCAGCGGTCCCCGAGTGCTGCCCTGCGCGCCAGCATCTCTGCCTGCCATGTCAGCATTTCCCTCGTGGTCTTGCAATATCCTGGTGCCCCCTGAGAGCAGCCTGGTACCTCGTAGCGCTGCTGGGGGCAGCCTCTTCTGCGAGCGTGCGGGGCTCGGACGGGGCCTTGGCTCCCTGACCTGCTGCGCACGTTTTGCAGCCTCGGACGGGCAGCGGCGAGCCAGAGGGAATGCGAAGAATGCGGCAGGGAGCCTTGGCTCTGGGCGGCTGCATTCCTCCCCGGGCGTCTGCACCGTGCCACGTTCCCCGCGCCGCTCCTTTTCTTTCCTTAATAGCAAGTCCAGAACCACCCTCCGCAAGCGGGGTTTCGCCATCCCCGCTATCCTCCTCTCTCCTCACAGCTGGAAAAGGTGCGGCGTGGCCTCCACCCCCCATGCACACTCACGCACACGGTCCTGCAAATGCACACGCCGCACACGTGTGCATCTACACACAAAAAAACAGACACCCACACGTGTGCATCGCACAGTCTCTGCCGGGTTATCCACAGGGCCTGCATTGCCTCTTGCACTCCCTGACCCACAGCGCATCGCCCGGCTGCAGGGCACTTGGCTCAGCTGATGCCATGTTATCAGTGCTTGGGGGTAGCTGCTCCGGGCCGCGCTGCCCAGAGAGGCTGTATGCTGGCGCATGTCAGGCCTGGCCCACCCTGGCAGCGCATCCAGCTGCAGGCGCCAGGGATCTCCGAGGCTCCCGGCATCTCCGCGCAGGGCAAAAGGGCAGGGAGGAGCGGCTCATAGAGGCTCCGCTCGTCCAGGGCTTCCAGCCATAATGTCCATGAGTAACATCTATGAGGCAGGGGCCAGGCTGATTTCTTTCTCCTTCCAGCTCTGCAGAGAAAGCAGCTCTTTCTGGGAAGCCCCTTGCGCCCGGGTCCTGCTCTGTGTGTCTGCCACTCCAGCCTGGAGCTTCCTGCTGCTGCGCCCGGGGGTATGCCTCAGCTTCGCTGTGGCTCTGGTGCAGAGGGGGAAACCGAGGCATTGAGAGCAAGGGCTCCCCAGGCAGCCTCGTCGCAGGGCAGGGAGTTGAAACCAGGGGTCTGGAGTCCCTGACCACTGGGCCGCCTTTCCCTGGGCCTGATTCTCTGCATTGCAGTTCCCCTACGAGCATTTTTTTGCCTTCCTGGAGCTCCCCTCCCATCTCCCAGCACAGTGCAGACATAAAGAAAGCAGCACCCATGACGTGCGGGCTTCATGGACCAGGCCACCGAGGCCCGGGGAAACCAGGGCTTGAGCACAGCCCACCAGGCAGAGCCGAGGAAGGGAGCAAGTGTCGCGGGGAAGAGCTGCAAGCAGGGGTCCTTCTGCTCCCACGGCCCGGCAGGGTCCCTGCCAGCCTCCCAGGGTGGCAGGGCCCTGCGTCTAGAAGAAAGAGGCAACTGGCGCGAGCCTGGGATGGGGCCAGTGACGGAGAGGCTGAGCGCTGCGATGCACTGGAGCTGCGAGGGGCTGAGGATGGAGGAGATGGGACCCATAAGCAGCACTGAGAGGAGGGTGCCAGGGGAGCACCTAACGGGCACCGGATGGATGAGTTTAGCTGGACCAGCTTCAAACCACGGGAGCCAGCTCCAAGCCTCCTCTCCTGTCCCATCCTGCACTGGCCCAGCCACTGCCCCGGATGGAGCGGC